TCAATAAACTCTATAGTATTGATATTTTTAATAATTAAGAGGATCTCAAATATTTCATTCCTTATATATTGATAATAATTTATCTAGTGAGATCTAAATTTTACAATCATTGGCCATAAAAATTATCATATGTTATCATTCTAATTAGAAGTCAACAAGTTAACTACAAAGACTTAGAAGAAAACAAATATGTGTACTTGCTTCTAGAGAGTCCTTTTGAAAGAAGATTATTTTCATCAAAATTTTCTCTAGAATTGATCTTCAAGGACTCCTAAAATAATTCATAAAAATTTCTTTAAAAAGAACTCACTCAACAATGTAACAAGAATTATGCACATACAGTCACATTCATAAATTCATGATTTTAATGGCTTTACATCTTGTATGAGTAACATACCTCTAATGAATGATTTTATTTCAATCCAATTGCAACCATTAACACATATATAAATAGTTTCAAAGAGAACCTTGTCATCAATCAAAATGCATCATATATATTATATTTTGCATGTATATGTCTATGTAAGAGTAATCAAATAGATATTTGTGTACCATGAGAAAAAAAAAATTAATATCCAATATGTTTTCAAATTTAAAACATGCAGATGCATAGAAAGAGGAAAATAACTTGCTCATTCTTGTGAGTATTTACAAATCATCAATGCTTGCTTCAATATGCATACACAACAACATTTGAATATTTGATTGTAACACTTTGTGAATAAATTTCTTTAAACTAGCATAATCACTCTTTGACATTTTACTCAATAGATCATAATCCTTCAAGGCATAGTGGTCATTGATGGCATTTACTTTGAAGGGAGTATTAATTTTCTGTATCATGAATTCTATATATTATAATCCTCAGGATTATAAGAAGAGAATCTCTTAATGCCAACAAAGCATTTTGAACAATGACACTTTGAATCATTAGCTCAGTCAGGGCTATGATATTTATCAAATGATTAACATGCCAAACAAAAATGCCACAAAGTTCATATAATCCACAAAGACCATAAAATGATCTTTACCTTAGTAACGTGGCTTGAGGCCATCTAATCACACAATCTAAAAAATAATAGTTATGGGCCATATAAATGGAACAAGTAATACTTCTTTAAATACCTCTTATATTCTAAATTTATCTTACACAGCTTGGATTAGGTAGAGGATAAATAACTAGACCAAACTATTAGGTTTTGGTGTCAACATTCTATATCATTTTATAGAAGCAAAAGAAATAGAATTTATAGTAGGTAAACATCTTCATCATAAGAACAAAAAAATCACTTAATAAAAACTCAATATTCAGTGGTTCTCAAATTAATTGAAAATTTTGATTTTTCCCATTTAGAAAGAAGGAAAACAATTATACATGATATCCGCATTGTCTATATATTAATTACAAGTTAGTAAAGTATGCACGGCTATATCATCGGATATATAAATTGTTGAAACTCCCATTAATTTTTTTTAAATTTCAAACATCATGTGCAATGGACAAACAAAGGAATAGCAGAGGACAAAAATGATAATCAATGATAATCACAACATAAATGTGATATGTGCTAATTTAGCGTGATTTCATGTGAGTTAGGCTTAGAACAATAATAGCAAACATATAAAATAAGAAATAAATAAATAAACAAATAAATTTAAATGTAGATACTCTTAATATCTACTTTCTTCATTCTATGTAGATAGCTTCAGGATCCATCTTATATAAAGTAGCCATTCATGATCTACTTTATACTCTATGTGGATAGTTTCAAGATCCATCTTATATAATATAAATCTTCATAATCTATTTTGTACTCTACATATATGGATATTTTTATGATTCACTTTATAAAATTTAAATGTAAATATCTGAATCTGCAATATATGCTTTAGATTTTTTTTGTGAATAACTTCAAAATCCATTTTACTAGGTGGTTCCTCATACTTTTGGATATGAAAAACCTTTTCAATAATTAATTCAAAAGAAATGATAAAGTAATTAAAAGATGAGAGTAAGAAAATTACCATATGAATGCAAGTAAAAGCAACTTAGCAAAGAAATAATTAATGAACAAAATAATGAAGATTTGCTCAATTGTTTAATTTAGGATGCCTCCCTTCTTATTAAAGATATTCCTTGACATGAGCAATAGTCTTCAATCTCATAAAGCTAGGTGTATGAACAATTAAGAATAAAGTCACACACATGATTGCCAGAGTTATCTGATAATACGTTATGAAATTAGAGAAGTAAGAGAAGAGAGAAACGTAGAGAGAGTGAGAGAAGGGAGGAAGCTTTTTGATTTATTGATATGTGAAATATAACTGAGAAGCCTCCTATTTATAGGCACATGTTTACAATTGAAAAATTCACAAAAAAATAAAAATAATAATAATAATAAAGATAATACGAGATATTATAGAATAACCAAAAGATATATGAAATTATGAATAACCACTATAATGTATTATTCATAACAGTTATATTTATTTATTATCAGAATATAATACTCCATATTTTTCCTTGAGTTTAATTGTTCGTTGTGTTTGAACAACAAAAATATCAAATGTGTTAAAGATGTAGAGTCTCAAAATGATAAAAGGGTCCAAGAGCTCCCTACCTCTATTTACCTGATGCAAAGCTAATGATGTAAAAGTAATTTGATTAATAAAAATGAAGTACAAAGTTACAGTAATTACAAATGTAAAATGAAAAATAACAAGGTACAAACCTAAGTCCAAAGTAAATTTAAATTGAAACTAAGTAGAGTTTTTGATATGCATGTGTATGTGTGTTTGATTTCGTTAGTTGGGCTCCTTTTATATTGGAATGCTTGAGACTATTGTGCTTGAAGAATCAGGAGCTCGCCTACAAAATATCCATGATTGCTAGACACGGTCTAGCAAGATTTGGCGCACGTCAAACAACTATTCCACATCTTCTTAATGGCCTTCCACCCCTAATCACTTTGAGTTTTAAGGGTCATGCCCCTTGCCTTAGTATGTATTTAGCACGGAACCTTGTACGGAAACAAATTGACCATTGTGTTTGTTTGAGTATTAGGCTTGACATTTCGTTTTTCTTTATCATTGTTATTTTGGGCTTGACGCTTCATTTTAAGCCTAAACAATAATAAATATAACATTTAATTTATTCAAACAATCTCATTAATTACTCAATAGAGTAACAGAATAATTGGGGGGGTGTATGACACATACTCAATACTTTATATTCTGAACTAAACAAAATTTCTAGAAAAAGACTTTTATTTTTGTACTGAAGGAATATATTCGTCAAAAATATTTTTTAAAAAAATAAGGAATTTATTTAAAATTTGTATGTTTGATATTATTTCAATAACAAGTATTCTTTTTTTTAGATCAAATAATTTTATTTAGAATTTTGAGAACAAAAAAGGCCCAACCAAGTTAATACCTAGCCAGGCTGAAAAAAATTTTTATTCCTTATTCTATAGTTTATAAATAGAATATAGAATATTATTCTATTATAATCTTAATAATACATTTTCTTTCGCAGAATGTTAAGAATTCAATTTAAAATTAAATAAAATTTTAAGATTAAAACATCTAGAAGTTTCAGTGTAATAATAAAATTAATTTGTTATATATAAGATATTTCGAGAAAAATAATCTTACGAAATTAGTTGAATTAAAAAGTTGAAAAAAAAAACATGCATTGACTCTCGATAAGAGAAATATTCGGACTAATGTGTAAAAAATTACTTGATGCGACAAAAAAAAAAGTATTCTCATCATAAACATTTCCATCAATTCAAACTTTCTTTGAAACATCGTTTTTTTTTTTCCTTTTGGAACATGCAAAATAAGCTTTAAAAGTCGTGACAATGTGCTGGCCATTTGGCAATAGAGCCCAGTGTGACCTGAGTAACTGGGTTGTTTGGTCCTCATATTCTGGGGTCCTCACTGCCATTCTCCCATATAGGGGTAAATAAAATCGAATTGAAATTAAAAATTAAATTGAATCGAATCGAATTTTATCTATTTAATTTAGTCTATTTGATTTTTCAGTTCGATTCGATTTTTTTATTTTAAATATTTCGGTTGATTGGTTCGATTCGGTTAGTAAAATTTAAAATCGAATAGACTGAACCGACCGAATTACATATAATTTATTAATTTATAAATTATATTTAATTTATAAATTATTTTATTTTTATTTTTATTTTTTATTTTAATAAAGAATAAAAATAATAACATCACTTGAAACCCTATTTCAGTTAATCACTCTCATTAAGAGGTATTGTGACTGAATTATGGAACCATTATTTGATCATCGGTATTTATTTGTGATTGTTTATTTGATTATCTATACCTTTATAATATTTGGGCTTTATGTCATATGGATGTAATTAGAATGGACTCATTGAAAAAAATGAATAGAAAAAAAGGCCCAATTTTATAGTATTATTTGTTTTAATATTTAAAAAATAGGCTCAATTTTAACAGCCAAATATGAAACCGAAAAACCGAATTAACCGACCGAACCGAATTATCAAATTTCAGTTCGATTCAGTTTTCATTTTCAGTGTTATTCAATCGATCGATTCTGCATATTTTAAAACCGAACCGACCGATGCTCACTCCTATTCCCATGTAAAAACCCCACCTTTACAATGCTGATGTCTCAGAAACTAAAGCCATCAGCCCTTGGAGGGATTGCCCTGGTGTTACCAGTGATTATTAGAAAACATCAACACCCACACGTGAAACTGTATAGGACCATTCCTTTTTTTTTTTTTAATCAACTGAAGATACATCAATCCAAAGGATTACACGTGGTACATATGGGTAAGACCCTAACCTGTCCTCATCCACAATCTGTCTACAGTAAGATGGTTGACAGTCAAAGAGAAAAACTGTCAACATTAGTCGGTCCGCTCGTAGCAAGGAAGTGGGCACAATGGTTATCCCCCCTAAAATTAAAACGCAGAAAGATAAAACCTGTTACAAAAATTAACAAACGAGCATGCTCAATATCATCCCTGCATAGGTGCTGAGACACATCAACTCTACTGTAATAGGAACGTCTTTCAAAGTCACAATAAGTGCGCAAATACATTAGATCAATCACAGGCAAAATACCAAATAAATGGAAAAGTGATTGTGCGTCAAATATCTGTAAGTTACATCCATTAGATAAGGGCAAAAAAGGGTGCAAGAGTAAGAAAAAACGGGGTTTGATATTTTCATCTTTCCAAAAAAATACATCTCATTCGTTAACAGATTTCAATCAAAAGAATGATATATCATATTTTTCTTGATTTACATGAAATATTGCATAATTTTCCCCCTTTCATACAAATAAAAAATACATGATGCAGATATGTGCAATGGCAAAAAGAAAATGCATGCACCAAGAAGCATATATTAGAACAGTCGCTTCCTGCAGTCAGCAGCTCCACAATAACACGTCATTTTCTTTACTTTCCCGTCAGGGCTCAAGACACTATCCAGGGCATAACCATAGTCATATGTAAGCTCCTGCGAGCAGTGAAGGTAGATTTGTCAGGTGCACAATATTGATCCCTAGCATAAATTCAACTAATAACATAGAAGAGCATTATTGTTGACCATTGATTGAAAATACACTTCAAAGCAGTGTCTAATTTTAATAAATAAAATCATTACAAATTACACATCAACGTTGCCGCAGCTGCCCATTCAGCTCACCGAAATAATTATAGCATAAAGCAATTTCAAAGCCAAGGATCAGACAAAAAAAAAAAAGCCAAAAATAATTGAGTTCGATAAAAGAGTGAATATAAATACTTCATCCATTTATCTGTTCTATTGTTCAAAGCATTATCATCACAAATGCAAAAGAATAAACAGCTAACCTGCAAAGGTGGTATGTTGTCTGCAGCAAATAACATCACTCGTGCAAGCCTTAAATCATGGTGTGAACTCAAAACACATTGAACAAATAAATTTGGTTCACAACTATGGTTTATAAATCGAGCAATATTTCCAATTGATCCAGCATCAATACAAAATTCTGGTGCGGATTCAGAGGCATCATTTGCATAGTTGTCCAAAAGTTTAACTGCTGCAGATGTTTCATTTTGTGATCGCCTCTGTAAGCAAATAAGATACGGAGACATCTCAGATAGGCTTCAGGTGGAATCTCCTCCACGTGACTAGTTTGTTTTGACCTCAAGTTTTCACTTGCCAGTTGTATAATAATAATTGTAAGAAACAAAACAGAGAGATATGGAAAGACAAATATAATCTTATACTAAACTAGCTGGCGAAAACATAAAAGGAAGACAAAATAGGAACTCAAACCTCTCTTCCACCAATGCCCTTCATCGTTTGCAAACAATCTATCTCAAAAATATAATTGTTCTCGAGTGTATTCTCTACATCTTCTGTCCTCCTGATTAATCCTGTGTATTCACAAACTGGTGCTCCCGAAGGTATGAAATCCCAAGATCTAACAGCCCATCCTTTCTTTGCAGTTCGAAAAACCTGTCACAATTTGGTTGCATGTATAAATTAAAATACACAATATTGGTAGTTTAATCTAAGAACTTTAAGATGACTAAAAAAAAAAAAGTACAACCTCAAGACGATATCGTGGCCCTCTCTGAGAAGTTCTATTAACACAACCAGGACCACATCCACAATTTGGTCCACATTCAAAGACAACATCTTTGGCTTCAATTAACCTAGCAGGTGAAAAATTATAGACTACTGTCAATATACTCCTAAAAACAACAATAGCTACACCAACAACCAGCATAGCCAGCTCTCAGCTAACTCATTTCGATGATCTAACCTCCCTCCATTACGAGATACATAGGGAAAATCAGAGCCATTTCGTAAAGCACATTCACAGGATGTGGGATCCACACATAAGCCTTTGCACTTGCATCCAGTGACAGCAGGGGGGAGCTTTACATTCTTTGAAAGCGAAATTGATTTTTTATATTTAAAACCTATAATATTCAAAAATCCAAGTCAGTTAACTAGATCACCATAGGGATGCACAATGCTAAACTTAGGTTTAGGAAAACATTAGTGACAACTCAGTTTCAGAAACATTGCATAGCAAATATACAAGAGTAAATACTAATTTTTGCAGATGAGAAGAAAATAGAATAAGTCAATAATGTCAAGAAATTTTGAATCTGCTTCCTCCTGTTGACTGGTGCTTAGAAAGCTGTACTTGCATGTTATTGCGGAAGCAAAGCTAATTTCCAAAGCCAATAAATACATTCTTACTGAGAAACCATACCCCCTCCCCCCAGCAACTAGGGACGAACAAGGAATGCAGCAGCACAAACTAAGGGCCTGCTTGGTTATTAGAAAAGATGGAAATGGAATGGATTAAAAAAAACAAAAAAGAATTAAATCACCCACATGTGAACATGATAAAATTTAACATCACATAACACAAATGTGGAAATCACCACACCTTTCACAATCCTCATGAATCATGACCCCTAACTTCATGAACTAAATTATCATTCTCCCTCATAAACATGATTGACCTATCTCCCCTCCTCATTTTGATTATTTTATTTTTGCCTTAATTTTTTTAATCCATTCCATTTCCATCCTTTCTAGCAACCAAACAGGTCCTAAGGTTTGGAGTCACTCCCTTATATCCTCAAGGCCTTTTTACAAGCAAAAGTCCCAACAGCCCACTAATATTCAAGACCTACTCTAGAGGATTAGAGAAGTAAAGGAATTGAGCTTTGTTGGTGGTTATTATGATAGAACACTTCCAGGGTTTGTGGCCTGATATTTGCAGGACATGTTAACCTAATGAAGCAATGCTTTGGCACTATAAGGTTGGTGGTAATAAAAGATGTGAATTCCAAAATTGTTGAGAAAAGTGAAATTTCTTCGTAATGCAAAGCTTGTAATTTATCCCAAACTGTTTAACCCAATACCCTGTTCATTAATACCAACCTTCCCACCCATTTGACTTAATGCATTTATCACTAGTCCAAACAAATCAAAGCCCATTAATGTTTATGGTGCAAGATGATATAGAATATTTATTAATTCTTGATGATTTCACCAGATTCACTTGGGTTTCTCAAGAGATAAGAGTCTGAAGCTTCTCAAATTTTCAAAGATTTCACCACCATGATCCAAAACCAATTTCAAAGTAACATCTAAGTCATCAAAACAGAATTGATCCACCACCAACATGGATCAGACACCAAAATTCATGTCAATACGCCTTAATAAAATGGAAAATGGAAAACAAGACGTATATTGCAAGTTGTCATGGCCATTGTGGCGTCTACAGATGTTCCTAAACACTCGTGTGAGAAAAGCAAACCTTACTGCAACCTACTTGATTAAAATATCCAAAACCTTGAATTTTAGGGCCATTATGTCATATAATTGTAATATTGAAATATTACTTACTGATAGTTAAGTTAGTTGTGGGAAATAGCTGTTGGGTAGTTACTGTTATATAATTGTAATATTCAAAAATATTACAATTGTATAACACATTAGGTACATAAAATGGAAAGGAAAATTACTTTTGCATCGCTACCATGAAAAAATTTGTGCAAAAGGCATAATATTTTTGCGTAATGGTAACAATTTAATAAATATTGCGTATCTCATATTTTGTAAATCGAAAACAGATTTCCTTCCCTCAAACATACCAAACAAGCTGTCAATACTCCCCATGAACAACTTCTGTTGATTCCTACCATTAGTAAATTTGATCCATGTCAAAAAAAAAAAGAGTGCATATTTCTTGAGCACACCTCCCATAAAAAGGACTAGAAATGTTATTAAACAGTTCTATATCACCTTAGATGCTGAGAATTTCTTTAAAAACTAGCCCTGCTACTCCACAAAACTCTTCTCATGGGGCGACTCGAAACATTCGAGAAGATTAGGATTGTTTAAAACCAGGGCATCCCTAGCCTTATAATTGATATGTGACCATTCAAAACATGCCTAATCTACTTGCCCCGCCTAATCTCAACACTCATATCCTTGCCCAAAAACCCATAAATTCATATCTTTCAAAACCCCAAAACTCAATTTGATTCTAAAGTCCATAAGGACTCTAGTGCCAAGGCATCTGAGAGTGAGATGAAAGGTACACAGTAAAAAATAGTCAAGTGTACTGCAGGAAAAAGAACATCGAAATTGTAGAACCTTGGCATGTCACTAAGGTTCTATCATGGCTCCAAATCGAGACCAGTACGAATACTTCTAATACGTGGCACCAAAATGGAAGTATTTCAAAACTAGTCTTTGTCTAAAAATGGCACCTTCAAGTGTCAATTAGGCTCTAAGTACACCAAAACAAAGACAAGCATAAATGTGGGGACGCTTTGATTCCTAGGCTTAGGAAATTTAGATGATAAGAAATATGGAAAATATTGCTTTAGAAGAAAATAATTAATAGCTTTGTGTTACTTTTAATTACTTCTGATTGTTAGTTTCTTTTTCAACAAGTGGGAATATTTGATAATTTTGTTTTAGCAAGGGGGTAGAGGTTTCCTCATACAGAAGGAAACCCCGTGCTTATAAATAGGATACTTCATGTAACTTGGAGCCAGATTTGAATGAATGAATTTTTGAGTTATGTGAATGCTCTCTGTGTCTGTCTCACTCTACTCCCCCTCCCTATCAGATTTGTATTTTCCCTCTTTCTTCCCACTCTCTTTGTTTCTGTCTTTCTTCTCCCCCAATATCCCATTCTTGTCCCTTTCCCTACCACTCTCTGTTTCTACTTCTTCTCCCATTCTCCCCCTGTTTAAATCTTTGCAAGTGTGTGAGTGTGTTACATCATTAGATCTGCCTCTCTCACTTGGAGATCCGTGACTGAAGTTTAGGGTGATTTTGAAGGAGGACTCGGCAAGATCAACAATGGAATTTCCATGAAGTGTTGGTGGGATCTATGGAGTCCTCTAGATAAGACACTTGAGTATGTTATCCAACCTAGATTAATCAATGCCCGTGAAAGCATTCATGATCATGTCCTTCCTAGTGGCCAATGGAATGCTAAGGGGCAGAGGAAATCTTACCATCTTGGACAATCCCAATTCTTTTGAAAACTCAGACACCAGTTTCTCATGAAGAGGATTGTGTTAGATGGCATCCTATGGCAGATGGTGGTTTTACGGTCAACAGTGCTTATCATTTTCTTTCCCAGTCTGGAGATTGAAGAGGGTCCCCGCTGTGGTGCAAGTTATGGAAGTGGCAGGTGCTAGAAAAAGTCAAGTTTTTCATGTGGCAAGTTTCCTGTGAGAGACTAATAACAAACTCACTCAAAGTTAAGAGAGGATTGTCAAACACTTGTCTTTCTTCCTTTGAGCGCAACTATAAGGAGTCCATATTACATATCTTGAGAAATTGTGAGTGTGGTACCATGTCTTGAAAACTATAAGTGCAGGTATGACCAAATTGGAACTTGTCTCATCGACCAGCAAAGGAAAGATACAAATCCTGGGCTTGCATGAGGATTTTTGCAATTGTTTGCTGGTAACTCTGGACATCACAGTGCAAGTTTATCTTCGAAGATTCCACTTTCACCGCAGCAGATATCATCCACAGATGCAGCTTTATGCTTATGAAAAATACTGTCAACAATGAGCTTAAACATCAGATGCTCCATAATTTCCAGACCCACAAACAGTTAGGGACAGCCCCCTCACTGGACTGTGTTCGCTTTGACGTTGATGGTTCAGCTCAATGTAATCATCATGCTTTGTGTGGAGGAGTGCTCCGGGATCACAAGGGCGATTGGATCATGGTTTTCAACATGCTTTGGGCTTATGCTCTATTATTGATGCAGGATTAAGGGCAATCAAAGCAGGGCTGTTGCCTCAAGTGATGAAGGCCCTGACTTTGTGACACAATGCAAAGGAGCATTTGAAATGCTAGAATGAAATGAATTGCTCTTTTCAGGGCAACTCAAATGATTCCAGCAATCCAGACAAATGATCCTAGAACTTTCATCTTCAAATCAATGCAATCAATGCCATTTTAAATCACAAGAATCGCATGCTTGTAATTTATGTGATAAATAAAGCTCATGGGTCTTGAAAGTAACACCAAGCATCAAATTCCAGTTTCTATATCTAAGTGGGGAATCTGAATGATCTTCAGAAAATGTTAGAACTTAACTCAACTTACCTTTGGGTGCAACTGGGGGGTCGTCAATCAGGTTAGTGGCAGGAATAGGCACATCTTCTTCACCTTTGGTGATGTCCTCACACACAAGCCTAAAGTAAATAATAACAAAAGGATTCAGGCCATAATAGTCGAGCTGAATCTTATGGATATTCAACTTATGGTAGCTTTTTCTTTACCCTCGTATTTCAGCAATGGACTGAGGGGCACGTCCATTAATGAAATACACCTGCAATTACAACAAAATAAATAAATAAAATCATTTAAACATTCTTCACTACTTCATTATTCGGCATTAAAAAAAAAAATTCAAACTTGACCCATGATCAGTCACAGAAAATCTAGGAAAAGAATTGCAATGACAGCAGTCAACTCCACAATTCAACAAATTATCTAGATAAGAAAACAAGTCAATTTATACAATGGAACCTCGATGAGAATAATTTTATTCAGACAAATTATAATAAAACCCTATTTGTTAACCTTTGACATGAATAAATAAACAAGAAATCACAAAAATGAACACAAAATGTCTAATGTGGCGTTTGCCACAAATGATAGTAGTCACAACATAATTGCTTTTCCAATTCTAATAGTAAATATCGCATTGGTTGTATTATGTATGGCGCATGTCATACACCGTACATAGACATTAAGAACTTGCTCCTCACTGAAGTTAGGAATAAAGCTTAATCTAAGGATACCCTGACAACTGAAGTTTATAATAAAATATCATGAAGCATTTATGTCATCTATGAAGCATTAGTCATAAGAGACCAATAGGATTGATGTAAAATTGTTTAATTATTTAATGTTTAGAAAGTGTTCTTACGTTTATCATTCACGTAGGGCTTTAGCTTGGTTGTCAATTATCCTAGTAGGCTAGAGAGTTTCTTACTTCTAGTTGTCCTTATCCTAGCAGGAGGCAACCCTTGATTAGATATCCAAAGCACCTTTATTTGAGCAACAGTTAGCTTGAAAGGCTCAAAAACCTACGAATGTCTTTTTCAATAACTCTGCACATCAAACAAGCAAAACTCCCTCAAAGAGGTAGGGACGAAACACCAAAATTAAACCAGAGGACAGCCATATCCCATCATACACGCAAGAGGTAAGGAAATGCACTAGAAAATGCATATTAAGTGGACCAATGACCAAACTTTCCGCAGATAGATAGTGAAACAAAACTATCATAACTTCACAAGACATGAATATTCTTCACAATGAAATTAAAAAACAAATATACGGACCTGCTTAGTTGTCAAGGTTGGCTGCCCATCAAGCCTCCTGAGCCGAAACTTAAAGACCGTAAACCCAGATATTCCTTTTTCTGCCCAATAGTTAACAACCTATACAAAACAGAAAATAATTTGAACCCTAAAAACTTAACCTTGCATTACTATGACCTTCAAGAGACAAGCAATAAATCAAGAAGAATTACTTTTGAAGTTTTAAGGGAAAAAAATGCACTAAACACACATATAATTTCACAAACAAGATCGCAAAGCTCAATCAACCAGTCAACCTTGTTCATTTGGCATTTGTCTATCTAGGTTTGAAGATTGATCATCTATGAATCAGATTTTGAAACCTTTGAAAAAAAAGGAAGAAAATAATAATAATAATAATAATAATAATAACAACAACAACAACAACAATAATAATAATCACAAACAAATGTCCACATATTGAACTCAAAATACTGAGTCATAAGTTCTATCACTAATCACTGATCAAATCAGTACCTTACCGAAAACAGAAAACTTTAATAATAAGTTAAAAAACGAATTGCATTCAAACATAATTAGCTAAAACTTCCAAGTTTAGTAATCATTTTCCTACATTTGTCGCTACTTTTAAATTTTCAAACCTGAAGGCAGCTTAAAGTTCTCAATGATAGGGCATAAAAAATTAAAAACAATTGACACTAATAAGCAATCTGCCCTGGTTTGTTTCCTGCTAAGAAGGATTGTAGCCTGAAATTCCCCAGTGCACTATGCTGTAATTTTATGAGCACAATACAATTTGCCCAGTTTATAGGTCCATATCAACCCAATTTAGTGGACATTCTACTCACCAGCTTTCTGATCCAATCCAGTACACCACAAATCATGCTAACAGTTTCATATTACACATTATTTTGTGATAGTATAACTAAAGGGGTAATAATTTAGTATTTAGATTACAGGGCTCCAAGCTTGCTAAATATAATCCCTTACAAGGAATAAAGGATAAATTATTAGAGAAAAAACAGATTCCAATGAGCATATGGGAATACTACCTTATACAAGCCATCATATGTGTAAACTTTGCCGCTGTAACTGTTTGAAGATTCATGTCCGCGAACCACCCTTACAGACACACATTGCTCCATGCAGTTCTAAAATGGAGTGCAAAGTAAGTTAGATTCACTTATGTACTTCTAAAATGGAGTACAAAGCAAGTTAGATTCATGTCCACAACCCACCCTTACAGACCACAGTGCTGGGTGTTTTCTGTAGCCTTCAAATCTATGGTGTCAGCTAAAAGATATTCTAGAAAACTGGGTGGAAAAGGAATGAAGGTGATATGTAATTTGTAATGTGTTATTAACTAAATAAGCCAGATAGTTAATTAGTTTGGGATTTAGTTGGTTAGTTGATGTCAAGAATAAATAACTTCGGAACCTATATAAGGGATCCTAATTTGTAATCAAAGGTTATGCCTAATTGCTTAATGAAATTCAGAATATTATTCAGAACTTCTTGTCTCTCTCTCCATCCGTTCTTCTCTCTCTCCTCTCTTCTTCCTATTCCTTTCTTTTCTCTTCTCACCACTATTCATCAGAAGGCATCCACAATAGTAACACCACAGCAGGGGCAGCAAAGCAAACCAGAGTTGCACAAGAAATTATGTGCAAAACAATACTACAAATATGTGAAAGCATATTAATGACTGATGCAATCTCCTTTCTTTAATTCCTTTGAATTTATGTTTCATGGACAAGAGATTTTAGGCTTTTGTACAAGAATGAATTTTCATTGAGAATTTTACATAAGTAAATTACTGTGATGAATTTTCAATGCAAACAAATTGAAGCAATGAGCACTCACAATCTTGTAAATTTTAGGTAATAACTAAACTAAATATAGCCTTAGGCCGTTGCCTTATCAAAAGCATAACCACACAATTCACTTGAATTTAGTAACATAAGTCATTCATTAATATTGAAAGTTCCAGTAAATTAAGTTGGCAACCAAGTACCAACTAGATAATAAAGAAACTTATGCTTGGTAACAACAACCAAACACTCCGAACACAAAAACTGTACATATCCAAGAATAAATAACACACTTCAGAAGCAAGACTACCGCACACTTTATAATTTCAAAAATATACAAATAAAAGTCCAGCAAAATCAAAGAACAACAATCAACGGCCAGCTAGTTCCACTAAAATCTTATAGACCATGAGATATAACCTTACTCCACCATAGCATTGTAATTTGCAAATATTATTTAAGCAATGGCATTAATCTTCACAACTAGTTTAAAATATTTGTCTTTTAGTAATGTGGACAGCAAAATTGGTTAACAGCTATTGCACAAAGAAGCAAGATATTTATTATCTAATGGATTAAAAAGATCTATGCAGTAGGTGCGCACCTTCAGAGCCAGATTACCACGCTCTAACACCTGATCCCGAATTTGACGCTTATCACCAGTCAAATTATGCCCACCTTGACCAGTATATACAACATCCTCAGCATTATCAAGATCATCCTCATACATCCCCGACAAAACAATGGCCACAGCAAGTGGAAATTCATAGTGACTGTACTGTGACTTTCAAGAGGGAATAGAGAAAGAGAGACATTTGATTAGATGGAGCACTTAATTAAGAATTGTGTCATTTGACTGTCAGGCATATTCAAGATCTTATATACTTTAAATCATAATGCAATTTAAAAATCACGGTAAAGACAATGGCATTACCACTTTGGAATAAGCTTGACCCATATAATCTATGCCATTTAGCCAATGGCTATGAAACCCAACAGCAACCATTTCAGCACGCGAATAGAATTGATGTCCAACCTTAATACCTGCCATTAAGAGCAAACTTATACAGATTTAACATGGGTTACACAGAACATGGCACAATTCATTTTAACATTATAGATATAATTGTACATATAAATATAATCTTGCTAGGTTGAGAAGGAACAAATAGAAAATTTCTATCAGTTTAATAAGCCCAAATAGGTAAACAGAAGAAGCAATGCGAGATGAAGCCACCAACCTGGAATATCACCAATTCTTTTCTCAGGATACAATGTCTCCTTGTTTTCCATCATCTGCCAAATGTCTCCGATTTAAAATGTTAGGGAAGAAAAATCTACAACCCTCTTGTATCACAATTAAAGCCACTTAATTTTAACTAGGTAAGAAATGATAATTTTATACAGAGGTGAAATTTTATATAATAATGACTCTGAAATTTCTCATGTTATTCAAGGTGGGAGACTAAATTATAGAGGTGACAGGAAGCATAAGGCAACAAATCAGCATCCTCCCGAAAAAATGCCACCATTAAGGCACCAAAATCAAAAAACCTCAATATATGGGGGAAAAGGGTTGACAATCTACTCTGATGCAAAGTGTAGGTTTTCAGTTTCCTCACTTCACTTTTTAGCAAGTCTTTTTCCTCCTGTCACTTTGATGTGCAGTTTTTTTTTTTTTTAACTTTATAACTTTTACTCTCTCACCTTACCTTGTAGCAAGGGTCTTGGTTTCAGACATCCTCACCTCACTTTTTGTGGTGTATATGTTTTAGGAGCTGTTTTGAAACTGTTTTTATTTTATTGTTTTGAGAACTGGTGTTTTATAAAAACATATTCTGAGAATAAAAAAATAATGAAAATAAGAATTTTTCTCATTTTTCCTTGTTCTCTAGAACAATAATCTCAAAACACTTGAAAGTTGTTTTCATTTTTCTGCTCTCGAGAACAATATTTTGTTTTTTTGCTCTCTAAAACACTTTTTAAAAACACATTACCAAACATATTTTTTTGTTCTTTTGTCCTAGAGAACAAAAAACTATTCCTAGATCAGGTTGCCAAACAGCCCTTAGTTTCCCTATGCTAACTATCAAAGTGTATTTTCTGATGCTAACCAATAATGCATTCAAACTTTGTAAGTTCACAAACCATTAAGAATTTCAAAAAATAACAATTCTAAAATTTCTTATCTTATTCCTGGTGGGAGATTAAATTGTAGTGCAGCAAATGGCAACAAAATTGCCATGCAGCAAAATCCAAGGATATAAGAAAAGGGAAAAATTGACAATCCACACTAAATATCTAACCAAACAACAAATAAGATATATAAAAACATGGAAACAAAAGCGTAATTAAAAAACAATAGAAGGAAATAAGTAACTTGGCTCTGATGCTAAATCACATGTGATTTACAAGACTAACTAAAAAAAGAATAAGCCCATAATTATAGGATTCCAACAATAATTAACTATATCAATCACTAGATAATCCTCCAAATTTTGGCTATCATAGTTATGGCTCACTTTGGTTAAGGATATAGCTAGCTAACATGTTAAAAGAGAATAATTAAACAACTAACACATTTAGAAAAATGCAAGGCATCAATGATTACTTAATCATTTAATAAAAAAAAGAGAGATACGATTAAGATGAGAAGAGAGTAAAATAGATATATATTGCATGCAACAAACTAAAATAGGGAAAACAAAAACCCCCGCCAGAAACTCAAGCAGGAAAACAACAATGAAGACATAATAACAAAATTACACTAATGGTTAGCCTGATGAATTTCCATTCACCTTGGATAATGCTTTCAAATCAGGTCGCTTAGCCATTGTCTTTTCAACTTCAATTGTTGCATTTTTCTGCAGAAGTTAAAACATTGAGATTTTTCTGTTAATTGATAATAATAGGGGGGAAATCTGTCAGGCAACTCAAATTTAAATTTCACTCAGCAATGAAGCCCAATTTGAAGATCCTGACAGACTTTGAGAATCACTACTGACAAACACCAATTTCTTGGTTTCAACTGAAGAAACGTTAGGGCTTAAGCCATAAAGGACGACAACAAGAAGTCTGGTCCCAATAATGTAAACCATAAAAGACAACCAAAAAAAAAAAAAAAGAGTGGGGGTACATCAAGGGGCTCAGAAATAAGTCTGAAGACCTTTGAGCGTATAAAAATATAGCATGTTCACCATGTAGGAAAAAATATGCAGACAGCGCCAGGTATGCTATGGGAGGGGGGGGGAATAAAGCAGTATAAAATGAAAGGAATGAAATATGAATCTCACTCTTCAACCCAGCCAAACCCTTAAGGCAATTAGGCAAAGAAGATGGATGTAGAATTGTGTTATTGAGAAGAATGTAACAGATGGTGAATCCAAGACCAACCTTAGATTTTGAACCTCTTTTAGACACTTTGAGGGAAGAGGCCACTTTGTTGCACCTATTCTCCTCCTCCTATATATGCAAAGATGTTAAAATCAAAATTCCAAATTAAACAAAGCTAAAAATGGTTAGACCAAAGAGATAGATAGACGTAATAAGGCCTAAGTCTGGCCTATCTCGCGTTGCAATTTGCAAATTAGAGTGGATGCAGACATTGTACCTTAGAAAACCAAACTGCCTAGTTACAAATTATCACTAAATGGTCATTAAAACTAACCTGAACAAAATGAAGATAATGCTTGTTAAACAACCTCAGCGTTTCCTTCACCCTGACAAAGTCACTTTTATCTGCCAAATTCCCTGCCCCATTTGCTTTTGAACCCGCAGATGTCTGTTTGTTATGAACCACGGTGGCCTCTTTAAGCTTCTTTACTCTAGGTGGCTTACCTACTCCCCCTTCCTTATCCCCATGTTCATCCCCATTTTCATCATTGCAACTTCTTTTGAAACATTTACTTTTCTTATCATTACCAGCCTTATCTCGGTCCTCTAACAATTCTACTCTACGTCGCACTAGAAATTCCTTATTTTGAACTCGAGAGTTAGCCATCCTTTGACCTGACGATTCATTGTCATCATTTGGCTCTTCAGTAATTGACTCGTTCAACTTTTTAGCTTTCTGTTGGTCCTCCACAACATTTTCCTCACACACATTTTCGTCATTGCGACTTCTTTTGCAGGCTGTATTCTTCTTCACATCACTAGCATTGTCTCGGTCACCGGACAACTGCACTGCAAGTGCCTTATCCACCTTTTGTTTGGCTCGGATTCGGGGGCTAGTTCTTCTCTGTATTAAAGACTTCTTAAACTCTAGTGGTTCCACAGTTGTTGAATTATCCAAATTTTTAGTTCTCTTTGGTCCTCCCACTGTTTGTTGCTTATCAGCATTTTCGCACTTAACACTTGTTTTACAGGCGCTCATCTTCGCATCACTAGTTTTATGGGGCAGCTCATCTCTGCGGCACACGGGAGGTTCCATGTCCACTTTATGCTTGGCTTGGATTCGAGGACTGGTTCTTCTCTGAATTGACGAATTTTTTGAACCATTTGGTTCTTCAGTCTTGTCACATTTATGACCATTCGGTATAATATTACGCCTAGGGGTCGAAACCACGGAATGACGACGACCCATTCCAGCACCCAGCTCACTGTTAGCGATCGGACTCTGATTCGGACTAGTACGGTTCAACGATTGAGCCCCCATAGTAGTCTACAAAAAAAAAATGAAGAAAACCTGAGAAAAATAGAATAAACGAGTACGCGAAGTAATCAGATAAAAATGCACTAACTGGTCCGAAATCCTCCGGTAACAGATAAGTTGGGTTACTAGCTAAAAAATTGGAAGGAAAATGAGAAAGACTTCAGCACAAGTAGATTGTAACTTTTAGGGTTTTGGGGAGAACAGCATTGGGGGAAATGCGAAACAAATCGAAGGAGAGTGAAGCAGTAAAGGGCAAAGGGTGGGCATGGGTTCATCCCTTATATATCTCCCACCTCGGGAGAATGTACGGACACACAGCCATTGTATTTCCTTCTCGGCCTTTTTTCTCTTTTTTGGCTCTTTCCTCTCTTTCTCCGACCTCTTCCCGCTTGAATACTTTGGTGGAGCCCTTGCGCTGTAGCTTGCTGACGTGTTAAGAGCTTGTTGCACAATATTTCGATTCTGATGAAATTATCTGTAATTGTAAGTACACTACAGAGTATTTAAATTTGCAATCCACAATATTTATGTTATAGATCATATAACTTATTAGTGCTCAAATTCTAAGATATGGTTATAATTATTTATTATTTATGACTTTTTTAATAAAGGCATGTAAGTGATACATAATGAAAAAAAAAAGGGGAGAGGATTTTCTCTTCTTTCCCACCCTCTTTCCTTCTTTTCCCTTCCAGTATATTAAGATATAAATAATTCAGATTTCATTTATAAAAATATTATTAAAATATTAAATTATAAAAAAATAAATACTAAAATTCAAAATACTAAAATTTAATATAAACAGTTAAAAACATTGTAAAAACAAAATAAAATAAAATATTTTATAAGAATATAAAGCTGGAGCGTGCAAATCTTTATTTAATAGTTATAAATTAAAAAGAAGAGGGGAACTGGATGGGAAGGGATTGGAAAGAATCCTCTCCAATAAAATTTACATGTTTTAATTTAATTAAAAAAATAGGTATTAAGAAAAACAATTTGGTAAGTGAAATTTATGTATTTAAACGTCAAGTGGATCCCTTGCACCATTTTTCAATTATTTAAACGTCAAGTGGATCCTTTGCACCATTTTTCAATTTAAAAACATGTATTCAAAAACATTTGGTGAGAATTTCAATTAAGGACTATGAATATGACTCAATTATTAATAGGCTTTTAAAAATTTTAAAATTTCAGTTTAATTTAGAAAAATTAAAGTGAAAATAATTTTAATAGAGAAAATATCAAAGTACTCTTCACTTATTAATTTGTTATGCAAAATCATTGATTATTTATTTTATTACTTCACTCGTTAATTTATCAACATGAGTTATAAATTACATAAATTAACATGTCAATAATTATACAAAATTTGATATCAGTTGTTCAATCACAAGCAACATCAGTTGTTAAATTGAAAACTTTATTTGTAATTTTCTAATATCAGTTGTAAATTATTAATAAATCTTATAATTTACAGCTGATGTTAGTAAATTAATAAGTAAAGTTAATAAATTAATAATTGATGTTGCTGCTTATTTGACAAACTAATATAATTTATAACTCATATTAATAAATTAATAAGTGAAGTAAAAAAAATAACAAGTTATGATTCTGCATAATGAGTAAATGGTACTTTAATCTTTTTACTGTTAAAATTATTTACACTTCAATCCTTCTGGATTGAACTAAAATTTTAATTTTTTTAAACCCACTAATAATTAAATTATATCCCTAGTTCTTAGTTAAAATTCTCTCAAACATTTTTTATGTTATTCATGTCATTAATCATTAGCACTTCCTCCATTCTTAATATAGTTGATATCTTGATCACAATGACCACGTCCGACATCCGATGAAATTGAAATGTATCCAAACACATCGTGAGTAGGGAAAATCAAAATTAAATAGCAATCATTCTTCTCTAACTTGAAGCATTTTCGGTGAATTGAACACAAGGACTGAAAATGGATTCTGTACTTAGAACCAAGTAAAAAATGTAATATATTAAAGGCATGAGAGAATAATAGTTAACATCAACATTTTGTTATAATTGACATTATCCAAATATAAGTCATATTTTAAAAATTTCTTGCATACCAATGAAAGAATTAAATAGTTGAATGAATCTTTAAATTTGTATACTTTCATGCATATCCAAATATAAGTCATGTTCTCACCACTGTCCCTATTAAATGTGTTAATTTTTTAATTAAAACCAGCGCAATATAGGAAGAAAATTACTAATATGGCCACCAATACTTGAACATGACTTAAATTTTGGGTCAAGAAAATTTTTTGTAATGTTACTTATATTTTTAAACAAATGGAGTAATAATCCAAACTAGGCATGAATAAATGTAGGTGAGTTTAGGCTAATTCATTTACACAAACTTAGCCCTATTTGAATAGTCAATCCACAGATTTAGTCAATGGTATAAGGAGGAAATAATGAGTGGTTTGATCATGCATTCTTTTTATCATAAGACATGATATTGTGATGTGCACTTCATTGACTTTAAATATCTATTTTGTATGTCTTAATTGATTTGACTTGAATCTTCATGATTTAAAATTTTTTCAATTACTGAATAACCGTAATCACTCTTATTTAACATTTTACAGGCATAAGTTTTAGGAAAGACAGGAGAAAGGTATTAAAGGCTTAGAAATTTGCATTCTTTCCGTATGCCTCCATTTTGATTATCATATGTGTAATTTGATAGTAAAATTGCCAATCAGGACAATTATTTTGATTAATCGCACCGTTCCATGTCTGTGTGCTTAATGGATTTTATTATATGCTATGTTGCATGAGCTATTAATGTTCAATTAGGGACAAAATAGTGGCACAAGTATGTTTATAGTAATTTTAATGGCTGTAAATGACTATCTGGAGATTTGATGTAATTTTTCACCCCTTATGCTTTTTGCAGCACCCTAAATTTTTTTTAAAATTATCAACTCAACCATGGTAAAGAGAAGTGAACTATTCTTATATTTTTTTTTAAAATAATTCTATAATTTAAAATACTACCATGGTAAGAAATGATAAAATATAATTTTATAAAACATTTCACATTTTAAAATAATTATCATGATAGAAAAGATTAATATAGATAAATAAATATTATTATGGTAAGTAGAATTTAAACTTTTTAAACTGTCATTTTCAAATTTTGAGATCCCAAATAATTAAAAACAAAATAAGTGTGAAAGACCCAAAAGATTCCTTTTAAAATTGAGAACATGATAAACATAATAGATTAGGAAAAATATAAATAGTTATGTATTTTAAAATCTTATAACCACCTGTCAATCTTTTCAAATAAAACAAAACTATTTTTGATACTACTAATACACATTTACAATTATAATTAGATTACAACCACTTAATACAATTTATATTAATAAATCAAATATAAAAGTAGCTAACAATTGGTTTAGATTTGCACAATACAATATTTTAAGTAAATTTTTAACCTCCTACATGCCATTAGGCTAAAATCACACATTCCAAACATTATGCTCCCAACAAATGCAAACTATAAACTAACAACCAAACTAGATAACTCAAATAATTTCTAAAACAAACCAATTATATGCCCCTATAATCATGCTATTCTAAACATCCAAAATAAATCAAACGTCAAAGTTACAGTCATCTAAACAAGTAAAAATAGTTTAAAGGGCATAATTATATATAATTGTACACATTAAATGTAACATCCCAATTAAGCCTCAACATTCATATAATTGTCAATAAATAAAAAAGCCTCAACATTGATAATAGAACACATTAAAAATTATAAATTAAAAATACTTAAAAGAGACAATGAATCTATACCATTAAGTCTTAGGCTCCTCCACCTGTCACTCATGGCTCCTCTTTTAAAAATTATTAACCATATAATGAAACTCAAAAATCCTAATAACCAATGCCAATTTATGATAATGTATGTAAATAATTAAATGTGTACTTGCTAAGCAAGGAAACAACAATCATATAAACAAAAATACTAAAGATATTGTAATACATGGCAAACAATTATCCTTATCTCTCTCCATTAACCTCGAGCGGTAGCTCTCACTTAGTGTTAAATTACATAATAAAAGGTAGTTTACTCTAAACCCTTACAAGCCACCTATTGGATCTCCAATAGGGGCATACCATGTAGAAAAAAAATATAATAACAATAACAAATCTTCCAATACCTCCCACAAGAATTACATAATTACATATAAATATTGTATAATTCTACAACATTATAGTCTTCAAAAATTTCTCATTTTTAACAAGGATTAATGAGCAAATAAGATCCTAAACCATTGCTCGAAAGTTGCCTTAAACCCTAAACTCTTAAAACATGCAAAATAAACTTTATATTTTTAAGTTCACAATAAAATAAACCCTGATCGTTAATTTTTTAACACTGTTACTATTCATGCAAGTATTGTTCAGGGTTTATTTTTCTATGAATTTAACTCTGACTATTACAGTACCCGAGTGGACAATAATGGTGTTAAAAAAATTAATGGTCAAGGTTTATTTTTCTATAAATTTAAAAATTTAGAATTTATTTTGCATATTTTAAGAATTTAGGATTTAAGGTGATTTTCGAGCAAGAGTTCAGGGTTCTATTTGCTCATTGACCCTTTTAACAATATTACAACATGACATCCCAATTGGCAAAAATACTTCAAAATACATATTCACAATTTAATAATTTTTTCATAAACATAACAAAATAATTTCTTGACAATAATTCACAATTTTCTCAATAATCACATAATTAAGATGAAACAACAATAATCACAAATTAAAGCATAGTTACTTCATGACTTTTTTAATAAATTATTCATTACAATTTATTTTCCACCACAACCTTCACTAAAAACACAATCTACACCTAATATATTATTTATAAATATTAATTTTAATTATTAAAACTAACAAAATAATTTTAATAATAGAATTGGAGAGTATAACATAATTTTTAATCTCATTGTTAATATAAGCCTATAGTTAGTACCCTTAAGCAAAATTTATAACTCCTCTTTTAATAGCCAATGAACATTAATAAGTTAAAACTAACCTTTAACCCATTTTTTATTATTAAAATTTCCAATTTTTATTCAATAAATCCACACCTAAAAATATTCAAAAATTACAAACTTAGTCTCAAGCTTAAAATCATCATTCTATAGCTACAATAATACATTTCTTATCCTAAATAATTATCTAAATATCAATAAATCAACTTATATTTTTAGATTTAACAAAAGTCTACCCATAAAGATATAAGGTTTAACCTAGAAGCATCAAATTCAAATTTTATCAACAAATTAATACTCTATAATATTTATTATACTGCTAACAATCTCAACAATCAAATTTATTTATCATAAATTCATCTCTCTTTCAAACTTTATATTTTCTACCATCACCAAATTAGAAACTAAAAGGGATGGATGATTGAGAAAAAATTTCAAAACACCTATCTAGTCTTAAAAAACTTGAATTCTCACCCAAAATATCCCATTATGAAGTTTGGAATCAAATCTCTCACCCCATCTCACGTATGCTCCATGTTTTTCCCCCTGTTCTTCTCTTTTGTGCATGGAGAGCAATTGAGAAAGGGATGAGAAAATGAATAGGAAATTGGTTGTGTCTTGTTTTCAAAAAGGTGTGGGTCCTACATTTTCTCTCCCTCTCCTTACTTTCCTTTTTTTAATCTCTATACTAGGAATTTGTAAGAAGCCCGAAAGCTCAAAATGCTTAACCCAACCTGATGGTTTTTTGCCCTACTAATGCCTTAAAAAAGCTGCCCGAAAAGAAATGGGCATGGTCAAGCTGAGCTTGAACCCCGATTTGGGTAGGGTTTAGAGTTGGAGTGTCCAACTAATTAACCCTACTTGACCTGAGCTACATATTATTTTTTTAAAAAAATATAAAATAACATCATTTTGTTAGCTAGCAACACAAGTGGCAAATTGAAATGAAATGAAACCCTAGCTTTCTACTTAGTCATCACTCTCTTTGACTTTTCTCAATCGTCTCCTTCTCCTCTCGTTTCTTCTCTTCTGCTTGCATCATAGCTCACAACCTCATACTCACAATCTAGGCGCGCCATTCACCACACTACTCACCCGTTTACCATGTAAGACTCGATAGTGTTGTTCCTCCATCTGTCTCACTATCTCGGCACCTTCCTTTAACGATTTTGTGGTGAGTGAGAGCTTCGCCTATTCTGACGACTCTGTCTTGTGGTCTCAAACTCTTAGTATGCTTCAGAGCTTGGGTTCACTTGGGTTAGTTGCTATAAAGCTTGGATTGGTTTCTTTGGACCTTAAGTAAGCAATCTTTAAATCTTTGCTCTACCCTATTCTCTTCTCTTTCACTCTCTTAGATCTTCAACAGCACTGATGAATACAAGTAGGCACAATGAGTCTATTGCAAGTTTTGATCTTTATTTGTGGCTCCTTGATTTTGAATGTCTGTTGTTGTTTGAGTTTTTATTCTTAATTGTCAATAACCTTAATTTTAAAAAATGTATTTGTTCTTAATTATGAGCATCTAATATTGGCCTTAAAAGAAAGTGTTTGTCCTTAAATAAACTCAATGCTCTTTTGGAAATTTGTATGATTGTCAAATTCATGCATGCCTTGCCAATGAAATGGATACAATTATTTTTTTTCTTCTTATTGTTATATTTTAGATTGTTGATGGTGGAATGAAAGCCTTAAAGGGAGGGTATTGGACACTTGCAATACAGTCATTGTCTCCTTTATGTTTCTCTTTTATTGTTTAGGAGGACTTCTTTTTAAAGTAGACTTTATGTAACATGGTAATGTCTTCTTTTGAACTTTAAATTTGCTGTTCGAGATGTTTTCTTTTGCCTCTGTTCATATTTGTTTTCACGTTATTAATCCTGATATTTTCTATTCGAAATGTCTTCGTTTGTGGCTAATTTGAGCCTAAAATTTTTTTAATTCATCTTGATTTTTAGGAGTTGTTGGATCATCTATATTGTTGCTCGAATTTTTTTAGGAGCCTAATATTCATATTAAGGTCCAACAAACAAGCTTTTATATGTTAAACAACATAAAAAAAGATAAGTAGGACTAGACATTCAGCCCGACTTGCCCGATCTATGCTCAACGTTACCCGCCAACTCGTACATTGATAGGCATCTTTCAGGTAGGGTTAGCTTCAAACAAGGTTTTTTTGCCGAAGAGATTTAGGGTAAGGCAACAGGCTAGTTGTTTGCCCTACTCGACCCTGCCCATACACAAGCCTATTCTATACACCCAGTACATGCACAGCCAACGGATAGAAATTTGTTCCCCACTTTATTTATTCATTTTTTATTCTTTCTCCATTTTTTAATGGTAATAGTAATAGTAATAGTAATAATTATTATATTTTCTAAGAATCTTAACATAGAATTTTATTTTAAATTAATCCAATAATTATCTCTTAAATAATTTACTTACCTTTAAATATTTTTTAAAATTTCTATTAACTAAATAGACTATTAAAATTTAAATTGAAATGTTACACTTTTTAATGAAATTGAGATTAAGGAGTGAAAATATGAACTATGTTGTATATTTGTATCGTGGTGCATTGTATAAGTTGTCCTGGGTCTCTTGAGTTTGGTCTAAATGGTTGTATACTTTAGTTTGATTTTAGACACTTTAGAAGTTTAAAAGTGTGAAAAATGAGTGGTTTTGGTTTCAGGCATCTAACTTTTCTTATATAATATAATTTGGAAATACAAGTAGTTCCATTATCTAATTCACTGAATTTACTTTCTATAAATACCTAATTCATCTCAATTGGACGTTAGACAGAGAACCAAGATATGTTGGAAGTTTAGCCCCAAGGTTGATTTATGATAGCGAACTGTTGCCACATATTTTGTGTAGTGTGCCATAGTGCACGACATAGAAGAGATTTGGCCGTGGTGCACAAAGATCTAACCATGATAGATACTCCAAAAAATCCAAAAAATCTAAAATTGATGTTCTTGACTATTTTTTCTTCTTGCTTTAAACATTATTTTATGTTCCATGCTCCCATGTGCTTTTGTACTAGGATTTATGCATGTTTGGGCCTTGAAAAGATTTAAATTACTTGTTCAAAACTTGAGATCCCAATAATTTAAAATGATTTTATAATACCAATTATGGGCTTCAAACTTTTATAGTATACTAGTACTCACTACTTGGTTTTAAACCTTTGTACCATGATAAGGCCTAATGTTATAGATTTTATTTGACTTAAATATGTAATTTTAATTCTATTAATCACTGTATACCTTCAACTTTAGTCTTTTTTTTTTTCAATATAGCTAGGCTCTTTAATGGCAATTAAATCCTTTTTCTCATGGTAAGGTGATTAAGGTGGTTATTCCCTAATTATTATGGTACTGTATGGTATTATGATTAAGTATTTGGATTAAATTAAGTCACTTTACAACTCTTCTGATACTAATTTTTTTATCAAATTACTATGCTACCCTTAATTTAAATTCCAAAAGAAATCTGTCTCGGTCCCATTTCCCCTCTCCTAATGCGCTCCCTCTTCATCTTCCTCTTTCTCTCTCATTGCTCCCACTTTGACCCTTCTCACCTGTTCTTCATGTTCCTCCTCTGTGGCTAGTCATTGATCCTTCTCCAATGGAGGGATTTGCGCAACTCTCTTGCGTTGCTTGCGAACCATTTGTGCCCGATGCTTTTCCGTGAAGATTGCTAGATTGAGGACGCTACCTCCACTCCCGTCAACCCTTGGGGCTGTCGTTATGTGCAGCTCAACTGCAAAAACCTTTGTTAGAAGGACTGACAGGACGTGGCTAATGCTGTCAACGCTCACCATGTTTATACTAAGAAGACGCATTGGCCATTTTTATTTTCCATCATTGTTTTAATTTTCATACTTTTTTTGGATCCATTTTTTCCTTCTTCAATCATACTCTTGCTCACCACTCATCATCGCCTCTCCTCTCATCTTGCCTTCACTAGCCTTCTCTTCATCATATAAAAAAATATATAATTGACACACACATTCACATTCGAACCTCCAACATTAAGAAGTACAAGGTTGAGAGGAATGGAGAAGTAGAATGGAAAGAGAAAATAAGTGGAAATGACATGGCGAGTAAAAAGGGGATTAAGAGACTAGAATTTGAGATAGAATTTTTTTAAAATTTTAAATTAAGGGTAATATAATAATTTGATCAAAAAAATTAATGTTAAAAGAATCCCTTAAGACTTCGGTATAATTAGACTATTTTGTAAGACTTATTTGCCATTCTCTCTAAAAAAATATGGAACAACCCGAAAAAGTGGCTGGAGTATTTCTAGTCTTGACCATATGCATGGAATTTTTGCAATATACAAAGACCTATCCAACTGAGATAATCATGTTACTTCACGTGGATTTCACAAATAGAAATTGCAAGCAAATTGCATTAAAATTTTTACTTTGATAAATATAATATAAAATGAATTTTGATTGTTGGAAAACTAAAAACAATCACCTTTAATGTAATGAATCTTCTATGGAAAGGCCAGTATGCGGAATCAGTTTATGCGTTCCAACGCCATCCTTGAAGCTGAATGACGTTAGCCATTTCGCACAAACGCAGTTCCCCCCTCTATGCGTTTTGAACAGGCACATTTCAGTTTCACCATCAATCGCTCGATTACACAGACAATCTAGATTCTGTTTGGAGAAGATCTGTGCCGATAAATTGAGATGATTGCTTAGTCTTAAATGTTTAATAGTCACACTAGAAAAATAATGATCATATGATAAAAAACAAATATCAAACCACCGGAATTTTTTTTGAAATATAGATGCTCATTTCCCTCAGGCGACTTTAGTTACAGAAAGGCTCTCAGACTTGCTCCCTAAAAATATTTGCATGTCAACATGCTGCTGCATATCAATGTGCTTCCATAACATTACAACCTTGATGAAGTCAGATCATTCTGACAAATGTCTATGGTCACTATGCCCCTGGCTATCATCTTTGTCTACAATCATAGACAGAGATGGATGTAATTCCGGTTGGGGGAACAAAAGTTTCAGACGGAAAGCATCAACTCCATTCAAATAGTAGTGAAAAAGCCGCTTAGCCCTTATAAAGCCAAGGCGACCGTATAATGCCAGTGCGCCTTTGTTTGTGACTTCTGCTTCCAGTGTAACCTAGAAAATTGCCAAAAACAACAATAACGTGAATCAGCATACCAGCATACTCCCTCTTTCAACCTCACTTCACTTCACATTGTAGAGTGGGACACCTCTAGCCATTGAGTTTGGCCTCTAGAATCCAGTTAAAACAAAATAACGTAACTATAAGCACCAGCAACGGTAACTTAGGCTTCCTGGTGTGCAACTTTTCTTCACTAACCAGAACTAATAGTAAGTTCTAACTATTCTTGGTATCCTATGTGAGAAGAATCTATAAGAAGTTAAGAACGAATAACAAGGGCTGTAATAAAAGTCATAATGTCCGATGACGCATTTAAGAAAGCAAATAAAAGTAACGGGACATAAATCAAGAACAGAAACCATGTTTTAAAATTAATAGGCAAACAACAAAGGATCACTTATAATCCAGAATTTGTCAACGCAAAACCATCAGAAAAGGCAGGTCGCCACAGTATAACTTGACCTACTTCTAAATCTGGCACCATAAATGCAGTAGGCAAAACACAGATGATTTCCGACAAACATCTTAAATTGAATTTCCATTAATAACTTTAGAAAGCATGAATCGGTTTTAGTTTTGAAATATTAACCACACCTCCCTCTACTCTATACCCCCCCCTAAATTACTGCTGAACATTCACGTACTACAAATAAATTATATATTATTTATGAGTTTTCTGTCTTCTTCCATTTCACACCGTCCAAGTCAGCAATAATCAAGTCAACTTCCTCGCATATGTCTCTAGTTTCACTATAAGCAATTTCATAAGTGCAACTTATTGATAATATTAAGATAAGTATATTAAACTGACCTCCCATAAATTTCGTTAAAATTACAAATATCTCTCCTTATTAATTTTCTTTTTTCACTAAAATTCTCCCTATCAACCTGTCCAACATATTAATTTTTTAATAAATACTCTCCTTCAAAAGTGGTCAAACAAAAGATTTTCCTATAAAGATTGGACTACATTAGGGATCATCTCTGAGTCCTTATTTATTCAACTTGATCTTAAATGTTTTGACGAAACATATTCAAGGGGAAATTCCGAAATGTATGCTCTTCGCGAATGATATAGTTCTTATAGCAGAGACAAGATAAGAGGTTAATTGCAAACTTGAGTTATGGAGGAGGACATTTGAGTTGAAAGGTTTTCGTCTGAGTAGAAGTAAGACGAAATATTTATATTGTAAATTTGGTAAAGGACTATTCGACAATAATTTGGAAGTGAAATTGGGAGATCAAATTATACCTCAAGTGGAAAAATTTAGATATTTGGGAGCCATTATTCAAAATGATGGCGAAATCAGTGGAGATATTTCACATAGAATTCAAGCTGGGTGGTTTAATTGGAGAAAAGCTAAATGAGTTATTTGCGACTGTAAGGTGCCTAATAAACTTAAAGAAAAGTTTTATTGCACTGTTATCAGATCAGCAATATTATATAGTAGTGAATGCTGGGCTCTAACGGGACAGCAAGAGCATAAAGTTGGAGTAGCAGAGATGAGAATGTTACGATGGATATGTGGACATACACGTAAAGATAAAATTCGAAATGAGCACATACGCGAAAAAGTGAGGGTGGCACCTATTGAGGAAAAAATGGTAGAAAATCGGTTGAGATGGTTTGGGCATGTACAAAGAAGACCAAGGGAGGCATCAGTGAGAAGAGTAAAACATATAACTTTGAGTCCGATTAAGAGAAGTAGAGGAAGGCCTAAGAGAACACTCTTGTAAGTTGTTGAACGCGATCTCTTAATTAATAATATTCCTAAAAGCTTGATAAATGATAGAGCACAATGGCGTCTTGCAATCCATGTAGCCGACCCCACCTAGTGGGATAAAGGCTTGTTGTTGTTACTCTCCTTCAAAAGTGATCAAAAGGTACCTAATAAATTTAAAGAGAAGTTTCATTGAATTGCTATAAAACCAATTATGTTATATGATAGTAAATGTTGGGTTTTAAAGGGACAGTAGGAACACGAATTTAGAATAGCAGAGATGAGAATGTTGAGATGGATGTACAAACATATGTGAAAAAATAAAATCTGAAATGAGCATATAGGAGAAAAGGTAAGAGTGACATCTATTAAGAGGAAAGTGGTATAAAATTATTTAAGATGGCTTAGATATGTACAGAGAAGGCTATGGGAGATTGGAAGGCACCGGTAAGGAGAGCAAAATAGATAATTTTGAGCCCTGTATAAGAGGAGTAGAGAAATATTGAAGATAACACTTATGAAAGTTGTTGAACAAGACCTCATAGTCAATAACATTCCTAAAAAATTGATTAATGATAGAGCATGTCGTGCAATCCATATAGCCGACCTTCCCGAGTGAAATAAGGCTTTTTGTTGTTGTACTCTCTTTTGGAAGTATCAACTTAGAGTTTGGACTTAGGAGAGAAGATATGGAGATAAGAAAATTAACCATCGGAAGACACAATTATATTTCAAACTAACCTAAAAAAAACAGTTCGCTAATAAGTCAAGCATAAACAAATGCATGAAAAAATTATACAGCGTTGGGAATTTTGATTCACAACAACTGACCATAAGTTAGTCAATTTCCATAAAACAGAAAATGGAACATTAAAAATAACATCTCTTTGCATGGAAGACATATGTCATACTAATTGTTGTTGATAGATGATAATTAGCTTTAAGACTTCTATTGACAGAGTAAATTATATTGGGGAGAGTTTGCCAATTTAACTCCATTTCTATGGAAATCACTTGCTAAAAAAAGGCAACACTAGAACTTTTACAAAATTAACATTTCTTTGCTTTAAATAATTAAATTCTTACCAAATAGCTTGAGATAACATAATATGTTTGATCTAACCAGAGCACATATAAGACCACGATCACAGTCCATTGAGTTTACGTTCAGTGGAGGAATCAAGGGAGGCAAAATCATATTTATCTTTCAGTTTTCCACACCAAATACCAGCCAATATGAAAACTAAAACCTGCCGCATGTCCCCCCTCCCAAAAAAAAAATCCTTCCGACATGCCTAAATTTCAACTCGACATTAAGCAATAGCTACATACCTCTTCACAACCTGATTCCATCATCACTTTAATTGATCTAGTTACAAGTTCCGTAGCTGCGAAAGAAAGTCAAAACCTGGTAAGTAAACGCACAGCACTAATAATTCCATATATTCCCTAAATCCTAAAGCAGCACATGGACAGTAAGCTTTTGAAGATAAACAAGACAACACTTACCAATGCCTCTTCCTCTGTAGGGTTTGATCACAACCAGCATCGCAATGTAGCCCCTGAATGTGCTGCGATGTTCCCCCATCTTACAAACCACAGTGCCCACGCATTTACCTTTGTGAAATGCCTAAAACCCAAAACAGAAAGGTCAACACATGATCGAATGCAAAAAAAAGATACCCGAACAATAATAAGATGTAAAGTAAAAGTTTCGGAACCAGGAAAGAAAGCTGAGGCCAGAGATAAACGAAGTAACGGTACGTGAAGATAGAATAAGGCTCGCTGAGCTCTTGGTCGACGAGGTTCATAATCAAGGGGAGGTGGTGTTCGCCGCCATAACTAACGTATTCAATCTCCGAAGCATCAAATTCGACTTTCTCAACTTCCCTCCTCGCGCTCGTCTCCATTGATCCTCCTGCGTTGGCCTCTTGCTGCACTAAAGCGCGCGCCGCCTTTGTGACCGATGTCGGCCTTTCTTCGATGGGGAATTGATCAGTGAGACACCAGAGTCGGGATCTTCTGGGAGACGCTGCTTGTAGTTCCGAGGCTATGGACTTTAGGCCCGCAATGGCCTGGATCAAAAATAAATCAAAAAGGGTTTTTTGCCCCCTTCAGGCCGAAAAGGTCTTTTCGTTGTATTTAAATCCAGTATTATGAAGCCCATAAAAATGTTTCATCTTGAGACTAGGTGCTCTCTAGTATCTTTCTTGTTCTATTTATAAATTAACATGTTTTATCAACATCAAAAAAAATTTTAAAATTTATTAACTTCATCTTAAAATTTAATAAATTTTTAATTTTATCTCTATTAAATATATACACTTGAATAATATATTTTCTCTCTTCAACAATGGAGGGTAAAAAAAAGCTTTATGACATGACTTATAAATAAAAGTAAAAAAAATTTTCTCTCTCTACTTTATAAATAAGATTAGAGAGAGTAACTTTTACCTTCTCTCTTACCCAAAAGGGAAAAAAAACTCATTCCTCTTCAACCAATGGCAAAAAAATTAATTATGATTATTTGGATTGTAGTGACATAAATCAACCAAAAATCAATATTTCTCATAATTAGTAAAAAGTCTCATTTTTTAGTAGACTTGAATATATTTACTTCTAAATATTTGAAGAGTTTTACAATAATCATAAGATAAAAAATGGAGAACAAAAAATTTATAAAATTGTTAAGAATCAGGAAAGAAAATCAAGAGACTTTGAACATATAAGGTACATAAAAGATGAAAAGGAAAGAGTTTTAGTTAGAGATGGTGATATTAAAGATAAATGAGAGACTTAATTTTTCAAACTTTTCAACGATAGAAGGGATTCTTCTAATAACTTTGAGGATTTATTAACTTGTAAAAGAGAACAAAATTTATCATTTTATCAAAGGAGATGTGATAAAAAAGTAAAGGAAGCTCTTAAAAAAATAACAAATGGTAGAGCTAATGGACCTAATTATATCTTTATTAAAGTGTAAAAATGTTTAGATGAAAAAGAAGTGTGGTGGCTAACTAAATTGTTTAATGAAATCCTATAGTCCAAAAAATGTCGGACAATTGTAGAAGAGGCACCTTAATTCTTATTTACAAAAATAAAGGAAAAATTCACAATGTTGCTAATAATAGAGGGATTAAACTTATGAGTTATATAATAAAATTGTGAAAATGATTAATGATAGATTGAAATTAGATACTGGTATTTCTAAGAATTAATTTGGCTTTTAAGTGGAGTAACTATAGAAGCCATTTATCTACCAAGGAAGTTAATGAAAAAATATCAATCAAGGGTAAATATTTACATGTGATTTTCATTGATTTGGAAAAAATTTATGACTAGGTATCAAGATAATACTTTAAAAATCTTTGGAAAATAAGGGAGTCCAGGTTGCTTATATTAGAGTTATATAAAATATGTATGAAAAGGCAATGACTAGTATAAGAATGCTTGGTGGTAAAACAAATGACTTTCTTATAAAGATTGGATTATATCAGAAATTATATTTGAGTCTTTATTTATTTAACTCAATCCTAGATATTTTGATTGAGCATATTTAGGAGGAAATCCCTAAATGCATGTTTTTTACGGATGATATAATTTTTATTGTGGAGATAAGATAATAAATTAATTGTAAACTTGAGTCATGGAGGAGGACATTAGAATCAAATGGTTTTTACTTGAGTAGGAATAAGACAAAATATTTACACTATAATTTTGATAAAATGTTAGCCAGTAGTAATTTGGAAATGAAATTGAGGGATCAAATTATACCTTAGGTGAAAAAGTTTTGATATTTGAGAACTATTATTCAACATGATAGGAATATTACACATAGAATACAAGCTAGATGGTTTAAATGGAGAAAGTATAAAGGAGTTAATTATTTGCAATCATAAGATACCTAATAAACTTAAAAGGGAGTTTTATTGAATTATTATAAGACCATCTATGTTATACAGGAATAAATATTGAGCTTTAATGGGACAGTAAGGGCATAAAATTGGAATAGTAAAAAGGATAATGTTAAAATAGATGTGTGAGTATATATGTAAATATAAAATTCGAATTGAGTACATACAAGAAAAAATGGGTGTAGCACCTACTAAGAAAACAATGATAGAAAATCATTTGGGATGATTTAAAACTGTATAAAGAAGGCAGCGGGAGTGAGGCACCAGTGAAGAGAGTAGAACGAATAATTTTGAGTCTTGTTATAGAGGATAAATTAAGGTAAAAAAGAATATTTATGAGAGTTATTGTTTGAGACGTTTTAGTTAATAACATTCCTAAAAACTTAATAAATAATAGGACATAATGATATTGATGGTATAGTTGATGCATCTAACCCTACTAGGTGGGACAATAAGGCTTATTATTATTGTTATATTTTTACTACTAGACGGAAACTTGCAACAAAGCAGCCAATGGCAAATTTTTTTTTTTTTTTACCAATGCCAATGGCAGAATAAAAACAGAAAAAATTAACAACAACAATCCTTCATCAACCACCACCTCTTGTCAAATAAATATGGAAAAACAAGTTTCTGTTATGATTATATAAAAATATAGAATGTGGTAGTTTTTTTTATTTGACCAACTGATTAAATGTTTAAATTAAATGTTACAATTTGTTTATATTTTACTTCAGCTGTTAACTGTTTTAGAATTGCAAAGTATCGTATTCAGGGTTAAAGACTGAAGAGCTTGCGAAGACTTTTTTTTTTTTGGCATCTGAAAAAGACTTTGTGAATAATTAATTAATTAGTGCCAAGCTTTACGCAACAATTTTCTTTTCTTTATTTTTTTTTAATAGCTGTACAGGAGCAATATTGGCCCTGGAAGAAAGGTTCAGTGTTTGACAGGGAATGACAATGTCAGTATTCTCACGCAAGCCTGCGATAAACTGATTAACATAAATAAATCAACAGAGTGTCATACTATATCATAATCAAACATTTTAGCAAACACTATTGGATGAGTCAGAAATGTTTATGATGGTCAAAGTTTTATAACTTGCTATGTTCTTCAAAAAATAATTTTTTAACTATTTTATTAAATTAAATGTGTATATTTTTATATATTTAAATGCAAGCAATAAAAAATATTGTACGTCATTTTTATCTATATTGTTACTCATTTTATCTTGTTTATTTATTGTGACTTATTTATTTATCTCACTTTTGTTGCATTATATAAAATTATATAAAATATTTGCAATCATGTTATGAGGCTGGCAATCAACATGCCAGGCTAGAAATTGGATTATTATTTGCATGCGTATGTCATTTGACTAACGTTACTTTGCAATCGGGATTTTATTATTTTATTATTGTTGGCATGAAGCTTATCATAAAGGCATTTTTAATAGTATAGGCTTGTAGCTTCAAAAAATTAAAAGCGTGAGCAATTGATCTGATGTGTGTTTTTTTTTTAATAAGATCTGATGTTTAAAATAACACAGTTTTGCATTGACTGCTGGCATTCAAACATTGAAATTCAATGCATGAAAGAATGCGGGTTCTAAACTTAAAATATGTCATACCAATATGAAATGTTCCTTGGTCTTGAGTACCGTGCATGTTCTGTTATGAATATTGTGCAATATTGTAAAAGAAGGGACAGTTTTTTTTCCCCTTTTTCTTTTAAAAAAAATATAATTTCAATGGAAGTGTAAACTGGATTGAAAATATATTTACCTTATCTCATATAGTAAGTAATATAAGAAAAATAATTTCATAAAATTTTAACTTCTCTGCTATCGGATTTAGAATGGAAGCTTGAATTGTATTATTAGTGTTTGCAAATATATATACACGTGTACATTGCATAGCTGATAAGATACAACAAGATATTAAATTAAAATATACATAATATTGGCAGCAAATATCACAGAGGCATATTATCATCCACAAATATCATGTAGGCGTATTCTCTTACGTAACTATTGCAATTTGTGGTTCTCTCTTGGTTTAAGATATGAAGAAGTTAAGCTTTGAGTTAGTAAGAGATTATTTTCTAGCCCAATAATAGTAAAAGGATTATTGAAAGTTAAACTAAGATTTTATAACTAGTTTAGTGATTCATCGAGGAGTTTTAAGACTTTGGTTTAGTTTTAGCCTTAAGAGAAAATGTTTGAAGGGTGTAACATGGGGTTAGTAGGAATGGTAGGAAGTCTGCGAAGGGTGTATCTGACTTAAAATTGCCTAATGAAAGAGATTAGGAATTTAAGCTAGTTTAATTATATTAATAAATACTTGTATTTAATTTGAATTTGATATATATTGCTTAATCTTGTAGATTACGTAGCTCGTGGGTGTTTTGAGCAATTATTGGTGCAAAGAACAAAAAGTATCACGACTAACCTTTTTTGTAATAGAAGAATTTAAATAATTGAATAATTAATGATATTAATTATATATATCTTTAATCAAAACCTCAATTTTTACAATTAATTTATAGCCTAAAAATTTGGATGTTACAGTGTGCCTTATCTTTCAGCAATGGCAACACTTTGGCCTTTCTTTCTTGTAGTCTGTGAACACTATATTTTGTCCGAGTATTTTTTATTAATTTAACAAAAATAATCATAAATAACTAAAAAATTATATATAAAAATATAAAAAATAAAATTTAATGCTTTTTAGGATCATATTTTCATAAAATAAAAAAATCTTTAATTATTAGATGTTTTTCGTGAGTTAGGATCTTATTTCTTTTAGTTCATTAAAAATAATCAATAATAATAATAATAATAAATACAGAAAAAATTTAGTCCTAAATTAGGATTATATTTTAAATAATAATAATAATAATTTAAATAAATAAATAATAATCTTGCTTAAATCTTTGAAAAAATTTTTAAAATTATTCCAACCATTTAAGATATTAGGAACTAACTTTGAAAAGTCAACTATTCTTGAATTTCTTCTTTCAAATTTTGCTATCTTCCAAAAAAAGTGTGTGTTTACTTAATTCAAAATTAAATTTGTTTTCTAATTTTTAAAATTAATAAACATGATTTTTTTAT